ATTACATTAATACTAGCTAAAACTATGATAATCTTATCTAGCTTTGTTCATAATAATATAGGTTTATATCGATATCAATATAAGAGAATTAATGAAGAGAATATAATATGCCAATAATAATGATTAATGAGCTAAGATACGTTAGTGAAACACTGCATTAACCATAGGAGTGCCAGAGGGGTCAATTGATTTCATTCAAGATCCAATTTGTGTAGATACCTATTAATAATGATTTCAATTTTTTTTCAAATTCAAAATACTATAGTCATAAAATTCATTGGGTAATTGATTATATGATTTACAGGCATTGTACGTATAGGAACGTTGAAATGTAGACGTCTTATGTTTATAGATTGTCAGCAATCGTCAATTCCTAGTGCAGTATTCTCTGGTATCACCTATTCTTACAAGTTTTTTAGTAAATACGGAGGTTTTTCAATCTTTAATATTTTATGAGTAAGAGTGAGCAAATGTGATTTTCTAACATCCAATAATCTGAGCTTACCCGCTTCTAGAAATTTTTAGCTAATGTGGTCATACTTTCGTATTCGATAATATGATGAAATTGAGAATTGAGAATTGACAATTTCTTTCGAATCTGATAAATAATATGATGTATAATGATATTAGAATATAACTTACCAATATTATATTCAGTATTGAAAGGAAAATTGAAATGTATACAAGGGAACGTGAACTTGTATGTACAAACACTGATCTTGGTGAGTTTGAAGCTTTCAAAAATCATTTGCTTCAGTGTGATGATGGGGATACATCTCACATAAACAGGTTATTCGACTTTATTCCTCAGTAAACTGAAGTCCAGTTATTCTTTCAGCCATTCTCCATGAAATACACAATTTTCATTCGTCTATAATGTAACTAAAACTCTGATGAGTCTTACGAATCAGAATCTGATAATTATTTCCGATATTCACTCCTGTCACCTGGGTGTATAGGTAGAATACAGGTTGTTCTGTTTAAACCGCACATAAGAAGCAGAGTTTATCACAAAATATACAATATATTGTAGTATTTTCAATTAACTTCGTTAGAAGACTCTCTTGAGATAATCGATATTTTTTTCATATATTCAAGATTGGAGAAAACATTTTGTTCAAATGGAATGCCAATTTTCTCCTTCTACCATTTTCTTTAACTTGAATAGGAGAATTTAAATCCGTATCGATATTTGTCGATATTCCCTTCATATAGACTTTTTACCCGATTTTGAGGAAAATCCATCTCTAAACCGGGTGTCAACGAATCTATTAGACATAACTTCTAGACCATTAGGTGTATCAAAATGAGGCTTGGTATGGGTAAATGGTCTGTGAAGAGGAGAGTTTCCACATATTTTTCACTTTCCCGTCACTTCCAGTTTCAACGGAAATGACTCCGATTCAAAATTTTTGAATGGAACACCCTGTATATTGTAACATTTTTGGATTTCTGAGACAATTCTAGATCAGGATGTGACATTTTCGAAAGTTTTTATGCCTACTCGATTTTTTTGAAGTCACTTTTGAAATTACATCTAGGTGGCCATGATCGGAAGTAAACTCATCTAAGGACCTCAGGTGATATCAGAAAATCACAATCGCGAAGTTCTAGTTACAAGTATGATACATATGAATAAGACAAGTTGGCAAAATTACATTTTCGTGTCGAACTATTATTTTCAAATGGCGATCATATTTTGACAAGCACTTTCCGAAAAAAGGATATTTTGACGAATCTAACGATACTAATTTATTTGCGATTGGATTACAAATAAGAACATGAATTAAATATGAAATATGTGTCTTGAACAAGGAGGAATGCACTTTGAGAATTTACTATAGTGAAAACTTCAAGAAATCAGGAAATTCAAAAAAATGTAAGTGCATCGCTAAAGTTATTGTTAATTTTGTTAAGTTTGTTGTTCCGATTGCAAATAAATTAGTATCGTTTAATTCGTCAAAATATCCTTTTTTCGGGAAGTGCTAACAAGTAAATGAATTATCACACTTGACAAAAGTAAATGGATTATTATGAAGTATTTTACTCAGTAATATTTAATTTATGTTCTTATTTGTTATCCAATCGCAAATAAATTAGTATCGTTAGATTTGTTAAAATATCCTTTTTTCGGAAAGTGCTTGTCAAAAGATGGTCGCCATTTGAAAAATAATAGTTAGACACGAAAATGTAATTTTGCCAACTTGTCTTATTTATATCTGTCATACTTGTCACTAGAACTTCGCGATTTTAATTTTCTGATATCACCTGAGGTCCTTAGATTGGTTTACTTCCGATCATGGCCACCTAGATGTAATTTCAAAAGTGACTCTGAAAAAATTAAGTAGGCATAAAAACTTCCGAAAATGTCACATTCTGATCTAGAATTGTCTATAGTTCCATGGAAATGAGAAATACCATGATTTTGTTGAATGAACTTATTCTTGCCAGTTCATCATTCATTTTTACAAAGTATGGAAAATGAAAGTTCCAGGTACTATAAACTATACAGAGTGTAACGAAATAAGTGTAATTCACTATTGGGGGGTAATTCCTCCTCTAAAAAAAAAGGATCTTTTATATAAAGAAACTTCATTGGAGCATCCCATATTAAGATACAGCCCCTTGGAGCAGGTACATAAAATTTTATTACCAATTTTTTTCACAAGCACTAAAAAAGTGACAGTATTGAAATTATTCTGAGATTTTCTACAATCAAAAAGACACTCAGCCAGTTGGTTTACCCCATGATTGTAAGGGGGTAAGGGGTGGAAAACGCAACCCCTAGTTTTCATTTCCAATGTAACTTTTTGTCTCATTATTCGTTTACCATTTGAGAATTCTCTCCGATAGTCTGTTTCATTCTGAACAGAAAATGTTCCTTGAATTTTTTGCTCAAAAAAACCGGTTCGCAGCAAAGTATCATTTTACGAACAACATATCGCCATAAAACGAAAATACGAAACTAATTCAATAACTAGGCGGCTCGGTGGTCGAGAGCGTTAAGGCGCTGAGTTCGTATGGGGACTCCCACCGAGACCTAGATTCGAATCCTAGTTAGGCCATGGATGTTTGTGTTTGTATGTATATCTAACCCCGCACAAGTTTCGACTTATGGGGCGTTTGGTCCCAGTGCTGGGACCAACGAGGTAATGCAATTGCGAAAAAAAAATAGTAGGCTGCTATTAGCGATAGTGACAATTAAATTGGTATCAAGCTGTCAGTTTGTAGATTTTGGAACTTGAAGTAATGATAATTGTGTATTGTTGTTCAATTCTTAATTTGTAAAAAAAAATGTTGAACAAATTTTATGTACCCCCTTCAAGGAGCTGGGGGATGGGATGGGATGCTCCAATGAAGGTTTTTCATATGAAAGTTCCTTTTCTTTTCTCGATGAGGAATCAACCCCTCGAATGTTTCACACTTATTTAGTTACACCCTGTATAGGGTACTGTTGGAAAGAGAATTGAACGTCCTTCAAAATAATGTGCATTGAACCAAGAGGGCTGAAAATATTTATTTCAATTGTCCTCCTTGAGAATAAAAGTGACCTGTCTTCTCGATTTTTCCTATTATTTACTGAAAGGAAGATATTGAGGTTGGGAAGTTTTTCAAAATGTCACCCTGTATCTAACGCCACAGCTAGATATTCGTCATGTTTTTCTAATGAAGCTCAGTGACGTAGTAAAATCAATCTCCAGTTGATCTTCGTTTCATCATC